TTTAATTTTTTAATTTTTTAATTATGGGCTAAAGTTTAGTTTAGGATTAATTTGACATTTCCACCAGCAAATTGTCAAATGAATCCCAAAAATTATTTATTTAATGGCACAACAAAACATTTTCACCATAGTTACACAAAAAATGCTTCAGAAATGTTACAGCTCTTTATCATCAGGGAAAAATGGATTTAATGCCAGGCTATTATTTAAAAATGAAAGGTTTTTTATTTGAAAACCATCAGATAAATTCCTTTAGAAATGTGTTTACTTTTAAATTTTTTAATTTTTTAATTGTGGGCTAAAGTTTAGTGTATTTCCACCAGTAAAATGTCAAATGAATCCTAAAACATACCAAAATTATTTATTTCATGGAAAAAAACCACATTTTCACTATAGTTACACAAAAAATGCTTCAGGAACATTACAGCTCTTTATCATGAGGGAAAAATGGATTTAATGCCAGGCTATTATGTAAAAATGAAAGGTTTTTTATTTGAAAACCATTAGATAAATTCCTTTAGAAATGGGTTTACTCTTTAATTTTTTAATTGTGGGCTAAAGTTTGGTGTATTTCCACCAGCAAAATGTCAAATGAATCCTAAAACATCCCAAAATTATTTATTCAATGACGCAAAAAACCATTTTCACCATAGTTACACAAAAAATGCTTCGGAAACGTTACAGCTCTTTATCATGAGGGAAAAATGGATTTAATGCCAGGCTATTATTTAAAAATGAAAGGTTTTTTATTTGAAAATAATGAAGATTTTGGAGGAGTTGAATTGGCTGAACTCACTTTTGAGGCCAGTAGGTCAGTCCCAGGGAGAAGAGCCAGGACTCAGGAACGTAAGCCCAGATAAGGTACAAAACTGCACAACACAAAATTAAAGTCTCATTGTGACTTTTGGATTAATTCCCTAAATTTTGCTTTTATTTACACCAAAATCCCAAAAGATTGAGGGATTTGCCTCTCAGACACAAACCCTGCCCGGTCCCTGGGATCAGTTTGATATTGAACATTTAATTTCTGATTTCCTCTGAGGGCACACGAGGATTTATTCCAGTTTAAACTCCAGAACGAGACAGACAAAACCAACAAAGCCACCCCCAAACACCTCAATGAAAAGAAGCCAAAAGAACAGAGATAATATGAAAGCAGAAAATGATCTCACAGAGGACATTTAATGGTGGAATTGCAGTTGTAATGAGAAATTATTGAAAATCTTTCTGATTCTTGCTGGGACAGGAGCTGGGCCCAACTCCCTGAGGGCGCTGAGGGATCCCCTCAGCAGGATCCGGCACTGAGGGAAATTTGGAACCTTTCCTTGGCTTGGAAAAGCGTTTTCTACCCTCCCAAACCATCACACCATCACAGAAGTGCTCATGGAACCCAAAATATTTCCCGCTGCTGTTGGTCAGATTGGCTCAATTTTTATTTTATTTTATTTTTGGCGGGGAAGGCAACAGGCAGCTCTGCTGGCAGGAAAGGCTGGCACAGCTGGCATTGCTCACCTGCACAGGAGAAGCTTTGGTCTGAGCTCAGGGTGGCCTTGCAGGGCCTGGAGGAGCCCCAGGAAAGCTGGAGAGAGACAATTGCCAGGGGATGCAGGGACAGCACACAGGGAATGGCTGCACATTGAGAAATTAC